TCCAGGATCCTCATTGCCTGGCAGCCGGCCATCTCTCTGAGGTGTCCACTCAGTTCCTTTGGGTAAGTCTGTAGGCTCCTCTGAACCTTTACTTGTGAGAGGAAGTCTTAGCTCCCACCACTTGCCCCTCCCGGGGCAATCTGTTCCAGGATACAGATCTCCGCTGCTCCGAGCACGCACTTCCAATCCCCTTTCTACAGGCTCAAGTGCCAGAATGCTGGGGCCGGCTGGTCAGTTTTTATCTGGGTGTTTAAGTTCCACCCTGCCAATCAGAGTCAGCAAGTGCTCCTAAAGCATGCTAGTGCTGGTGGCATGGTTTCATGTGCCCGCATAGGAGTTGACTACACTGGTTCTCCTTGCTGCAGCTTCCTGTCCATTGCCGGTAAGTCCTTATTAAAGGCAGCTGTCTTCTGGCTGCCACAGTTGCTTTTTCTTCTGACCTGGGCCTCAGAAGTCTTGGTCTTTTTCCAGTGCCTGGTTGCATGCAGACAAGACAGAGGTGATGGACCACTTGACTTGGTGGTGACTGGAACACCTATCATTAGTGGGGTTTAGCCTCCCCCTTTCATTCAGGTTCACACCCTTTGGGTTCTCTTAGATCCTTTGCTGCATGTGTATCTTCAGGTGGTGGTTATGGCTAGGACCACCTTTCACTAACTCCATCCAGTGAGTAGGCTGCAGCTATTTCTTTTGGGCTCTCATTATGGCCACCATCATCTGTGTCTCTGTAAATTCAAGGCTAGACTTGTGCAATATGCTCTGCATAGGGTTTGAAGACCATCTGAAAGCTATGGAACAGCTGCCCGCCTTCTGCCAGGGGGTGAGATGCCAGGAGTGCATAACTTGAGCCCTCCAACTTCTGCACTGGCTGCAAGTAACTTTCCAGGCATAATTCAAAGTGCTAGTTTTGACCTATAAGGTCCTAAACAGCCTGGGCCCAATGTGTCTAAGGGACCGTTTTCCTCCTTATACCACATCACAATTCCTCAGGTCAGCCAAAAGCAGCCTCCTACAAGTACCATCAGTACACCAACTCTGCTTGGTGAAAATGCTTGCTCCTTAGCTGTGGAACTCCCTGCCTCATGAGGCCCACCAAAGTCTAAATCAGGACATCTTTCAGAAGAACTTCAGGACCTTCATATTTGGGCAGGCATTTAGCAACCAAGCTAGGCCAGGACACTGTTTAGTAGATCTTAGCTTGATTTTGTTTTATTTATGCTAGTTGCCCTATTTTTCTTACTGTAAGCCATGCTGAGCCCCTTTTGGCAAGGACATCATATAGGAACAGGTGAGTGAGATATGCTTAAGTGCACTGTCCCCAACAGTGCTAGGGAAGCAGTGTAGATATGCCCATAATTGTAGATGTTTAGAAGATATAGCCTTTAACCAGTAACAAACTAAAAACTCTCTTATACCCAGTCAGCCTCTCATGACTAAAACTCTACCTTTTTTGACCCATTTACATTTTACATCCTGAACCAAAATCAGATCAGCCTTGCAGAATTGTACTATAGAATCCTCCCAGTGGGTGCATCCACACATGCAGGCATGTGTACTTGCAACAGCTCAAATAGAAGTGGTGCAAATTGGAGCTGAGCTTTTTGCCTTGACACATGTGCCTGGACATGCACTTTGGTGTGGTACAAGTTGTGACACTTGGGGCAAAATAACCCTTCCAGGCTCCTCCTGAATCTGCAGCCAAGGGGAGCTAGAGCCTGTGGGTGGCTGTGGAGGGATGTGGGGGCCATGGGGTGTGTGGGTGGATTGTGTGGGGACTGTGGGAGAGGGCTGCTCAGGAAAGGTGGGTCCCCTGCATGCCACAGGGTGCAGCCCCCCCCCACAAGGGCTACAGCCCCCCCAACAGGAGACAGATGGCCCCCACAGAGGCTACGACCCCCACCCCACAGGGCCCACATGCCCCCTGGTCCCACCTCTGCTTGTTTCCCCAACCCCCCGGATTGCTGCCCCACCCAGCCCCATCCTCCTGACAGCCACGAGGCCCCAGTGACACCAACGGCTAGTGCTACCACCGGTGAGTGTGGGGCTTTTTTTTTTAAGTGCTAGAATGCTGGGTCCGGGTGGGGCAGCCCTCAAGGGGGCTGCAGGAGCCAGCATGGGATGGGGCCAGGTGGGGCAGCCGTCACGGGGGCTCAGAGAGCAGGCAGGGGATGGGGCTGAGCAAGACAGCAATGGTGGGGTCTAGGGAAGCAGGTGGGGGATGGGACCAGGCGGGGCAGCCATCAGGGATGGGGCCGGTGGGGGTCCCCCCATGGTCCCCTCCTCCAGCCCTGCCCCACTCCCTACTTACTGGCACGGAACCTGGGTCCAGCTCCCTGCAGCTTTGAGATGCTGCAAGAGGTATGTGTGTGCTTGTCGACATGCCCACTGTGTTCAAGTCATTTCTGTATTTGGAGCTGGGGAGCTAGAAAATCCCCATGGGATAGCCCAGTAAATCTATTTGTATTGCCCTTTAGATGATATTTATATGCTTTAGGGCCTGCCTCAATAAGTTATTAGGTAATATTGCATAATGTTTTGAAAGCAATATGCCTCGAAATAAAAGCGTAAAGTGAAGGGTTTATATTAGCAATTAGAATGTTACAAATCCTATAGAAACCCGAGCCACTTGAATTCTGGAAAACAGCTGGTTAATAAAATATTGTAACAACAGTTGTCAGATTTAAATTGTTTGCTTGATTATCACTTGGGATCGTCATGTTGTTTTGATGCTTTAGGAATTTGGCATAATTCTTAGAGTTGTGATTTCTCAAGTTTAAGAGATTTTTAAATTCAAGACTGCTATCCTTACTATGCCTACCCAAAGAAAAGGGTTTAAATAAGTTATTGCTTCATTGTCAAGTGCAGTAATCACTTGCAAAACCCGGGCTAGGGATGAACAGAGAATATGTTTCTTTTTCTGAATTACAAGGTATATAAAGCAGTTTGAACCTTTTTTGTTTTTTTGTTCTTTATTAGTCATTCATGTCTTGTTTACACTTGTTTTGTGCCTCAAGGCCTGGGGGAAGTGGGGGTGGGGCAGGAAGGACTACTTGAATTTCACACTCAGCCTGAACTTGGTAGGAAGTTTTATAAAAACCCAGCTGGAGAGGAAAAAGATAATCTCAGGGAAAGACAACCTAATATTCTTAATATGTTCCTCCCAGCTGCCCCCATAGCAAGTGTGGAAAAGAAATGGAACAAGTGAAAAACATCAGCTGGCGGCTGGCTGAAGAATGCAGACAGGTAAAAGACCAAACAAAAAGAATCCATCCCAGAACAGCAAGAGAACAACATCAATCAACCTTCAAGGAAGAACACAGTGACAACACAGCAAAAGCCCAGAGACTGGGTGAATTGTCAAGGCTATAAAAGATGGGGTGAGACATATCGATTTTGGGTCTTGTTCTACAGGTCATCCTGGAGCATTGGTTCATCTGACGAGATGGACGGGCAGAAGCCTGGCTCCCACTCACAATCAACTTAGCTGGTCACTAAGTAGATCTGAGCACTGATAAGACTGGTAACGTATACCAGCACAGAACAGAAATTGGGGTATAAATGTGGTGTATGTGTGTGTATTAAGCACGGAATCAATAAATGCAGCACTTTGACTTATCCCCCTCATAAGGTCTCACTCATGATTTGAGTAATTGGCAATTTATTCCAGGTATCAATCTGAGTCTGAAGTATCATGCCAGGGGTCAAGATGGGTCCATGGTCAAGGCTAGGCCAGAGGTCAGGAAACAGGGAATCCAAAATGCACAATAGAAGGGCTGAGGCAAAGGCAAGACAGGAGCGAGGCAAGATCTAACGAGGCTACAAACACTGTTGCCAAGACAAGACCCCAGGCCAAGTGGGAGAGTTTTTATAGCCCTCCCATCAAGGGGCTTTTGCCTTGCATTGGATTCCATGGATCACATGATTCCCCCATGGAAAACTTCACAGGCAGGTTCATACTGAGTTATGTCCAGCGCCACATCTGCTGCTTGGTGGTGTCACAGCCTGGGCATAAACCCAGACCATCTGGGTTCAGTGCCAGGGGACTGCAGTAACTGTGGAAAGACATGTTTTAAGATGCTGGTGACTGATCATGAATAGGATAAGTTATCAGAACTCCATTAAAATCAATGAAGGTATGCCAGTTCTCACCAGTTGACAATAATACCCTCTATACACACACACACACACACACACACACACACACACACACACACACACACACGTCAGGTAGGTGTGTGTGTGTAATTTAATGTTGCTGGTTCAGTATTTGTTTATAATAATGTACATATAAACATTATGATGTTAAATATAGTACTTATAAATATTTCTTGTACTTCCTTTTTATTGATTCCCTCCTTGCATGAAAACCTAGTTTCACAAAGGACCAGAAATTTTAATTTTTTCTTTCCTTTTCCTTTTTTATGAATTAGCTGCCAGAACACAGATACACCTCAAGCTTTTGTCACAGAGGGAGAAAAAAATGAACAGAGAATGATACCATGGACAGAAAATGAAAATGCAGGTGCATAGATGTTGGGCACAGAAAACAAAAGGGCCGCGAAATAGTAAAGCTTCTTCTTCTGAGAGATGGGGAAGGACTTATGTGAAACTTTTCTAGCATTTTGAAAAATTAGATGTTGGGCAAACATTTGGTCTTAAGATCATATTATTCTTTACATGGAAATAACATGATGACAGGCAGCATAGTATTGTCAAGTGACTAACCTCAGGGAACCTGGTTAAAGCAAAAATCTGGCAGTAGTGGAAAGTGCTTATGATAGGTAAGCAATTTCTGTTGATTTGTATGTAACAAGTTCACTTTTTCAATCCCACCTTTTCCAAAGACAGACTCCAATCCTGATAAAGAACTTCTGAGGTTCCAAAGGAAGAGTGGGGGATCACATAAATAACCCCTAATTTCCTGCCTTTTTCCTCCTATGTAGACTAAGAATTGTATTTGAACATATTAGCCTTGGCCTAGCCTGCCAGCATTGCCTCCACAACATCCTGTTTTATTAACTACATTCTTAGGTCAAGTGAAAGTTAATGCTGAATCTGCTATTAGTGAAGGAGTTATCACCAGTATGCAGCAAATGCCTTTTCTTTAGCAAGTTAGGGACCCAGTATAACAGTCTTCAAGATTTCAATGCAACCTAACTCCTAAAAGCGTAGGGTCTCTATGGAGATCTCAGGAGAAATATGAGTTTCAAGAACTGAACCCTCTTTCTCTTTCATGGGTCATCTAAGTCCTCCCCACTACCTCATCCAAGGGAGCAATCATGCAAAACCTCCCAGGTCATTATCTTGTTTCCCCCTATCACATGTAGGTTTTTATATCAATTGTATAGTGGTTGAAAAGCATGGCCCATGTAACTTTGCAATGATTTAAACTATCAAGAGTGCAGAGCAAGGGAAAATCCCTTCAGAGTCCAAACTCATAGGGCCTGGCTATACTGCCCTTTATCAAGCTAAGGGGTGAAGCATGGCAGGGCTACTCCTAATGCACTACAGCCTTTAAAAATTGTGTTGCCGCTGCCATTTGATATGCTTCTTGTACTGCTCTGTAAGCATACCTGAGAGAGCTATTGCCATATGCCCAACACCACTCTGATGTGGCTACATTTCTTCAGGCTGTATTGAACCTAGAGTGGATATGCTATCTTTCACTGTGGCACTCTAGCATGGTCCAGAGGTGGTGTGGAAATGCTCATAGGGTTTTGCGACTGTCCTTCTGTGTCGCAATAGTCTGTATAGTAGACATTTTGGCCTTACGTCTCTCTCTGCTTCCTAATATTGAAGTGCTGTAAGCTGGGTAAACTGGTAAACAGTGTAAAAACTATTTAGAACTTACACATTGATACTTTTGTTATAGAAAGTCTGGTAAATAGTTAAAGTCATTCAGCAGTGAATTAGTGTTATTTCTTGAAATCATTTGTCTTTGATTGAGGTAGGTTCATATTTTAATGTTAGTACAATAGGTGCAACTAATAAATGTCAAAGAACACCCCTGAAAAAGATCAAATACTAATGGCTAAGTCAATCTCTGTAATTTAAGTATAATCAGTCTTAACTGTTTGAATGGATTTTGGTCAGATATGAAGGATTTTATGTTTTTAGCGACTCTATTCTATTGAACTTTGGGTCAAAATAAGCCCTTGAACAACTTTTTTTGAAGCAAGTAGTTGTACCTATTTACATCAAGGCTGAATTTGCTTTGTCCTATGTAAAGAAGTCAGAAGTGATTTAACATGTCAGTCAGCTATGCAGACACCCAGGGTATGTATGTGTACACCTCTTGTGCATTCCTTCTATTCATGGAACACACTTCTGATGTGAAAAGACATTATCATTCTGGGTTGTTGGTCAGCTTCTTTGTTACAATAACTACTTGAGCAGATTGTAGCATAAGAGGCCAGTTTCTTTGTCATTCTGTAATCTGGTTTGTATATTAGATACATTTTTATTTAAAAACTGGAATTCATGTGAAAACTAGACTCACAATGATTTTAAGGCAGTAGGGAAAAAAACCAATGAAACTGAGGCATTTTGGATCTTTAATATGGTAGATCTTGAATTTTAGCTAAGTGCCATATCAATTTTTTTTAAAGTAAATTTTCAAGGCATGATTATTACATAGCTGATGGAAATAAATCACTAATTGTATAAAATATATATGTAAAATGGAAAAATATTTATGAAAGAAAAACTGTATGTTTGATTTGGTTAATTGTGTTTCCAGTACTCAGTGTAGGAAAAAAAGTTAGTTAAACTATTAAACCAGTCAAACTCCGCCCTGTTAAGGGACTTTAGTTTTCAGTATTGCTCCTGGCTTAGCATTAAAACCATATCATATGACCATTATCTTGATGGATGTATAATCCTGTGCAATGGAAGTATATCCTGGGGTGCACAGTTTAAATCGTGTAGTTTTAGCCAAAGTCAGACAGGAATCCATTGCATGTTTTCTACTTATCCTTCACATTCCACAAATTGAGAAAAAAAACTAGAGAGAAGAGTGTAAACAAAGTAATTCATAGCAGATGGGGTGAAAATAAATGTTGGCAAGCACTGAGCTACCATTTCATGGTTGTGCAATCATTGACCCTTTAGTATTTTTCAATGACATCTGAAGGTGATTTGAAATTTTCCAGGCTTAGAGTCAGTCACAGAAGAAAAGATGAAGCTTTGCATTTTATAAAGGGTGCTTAGCACCTGCATTATAGCTTATCAGAAAAAAACTCCTAACAGTTTGGTATATAGCTTAGATTGTTCCCTGCTTGAGGCTTTGAGTCTGAGTGATAAGATGACATTATGAGCACATTATCTTGCATGTGCTGATTTAACAAGCTGTTGAAATTTTGCCAGGTAAAATAGTTCAGGAGCAGCATTGCTAAAAAGACAAATAGCATGAGTAAAGACCCTCTACTTTCTTTAATTAAACATATTCCATTTAAATATCCAGGAAGCAGTAGATTTTTTAAATTCTATCAGCCTTGAAGTTGTATGATAACTCACAGGATGAACTGGCTGATGTGATCTGACTTGTACTAAAAGTTTTAAGTTTTACTAGAGGTGGCACAGAACTGAGCAACAGCAATATCATTTTTATAAATTGTTTTTGAGAAATGAGCTGAAAAATGAGTGACTAACTAATGTTACTAATTAATGTTACTTGATAAATTCTTGCCTGACTTATGTTTGCAAGCTGTACAAGAAGAACCCATATGAATAAGCCTTGAGTGGCCAGAGCTTTCAGTGGCTTCACTGAAGTTAGTAAGGTTGGGCCACTTTGCACTAGTTGAGGATCTCATCCATAATTCCCAAAATCAGGAAGAACCACTATAAGATTTCTTCTATTTCCTCAGGTGTTTATCAGTCTCATCTTCATATTACCTAGCTTCCAGCATACCACAGACATTGAATTTTACCCATTAATTCTTGTGCTGAGCAAAATAACGTCGTTAAACAACATATCTTTTAAAAAGATACCCACTCTTAAGGTAAAGATTTCAAACAAAGGAGAATCAACCACATCTATTGGCATTGCATTTTAATGGTTAATTACTCTGAGTTTTAAAAAAAATGTTCCTTAGAGATTCAATTTTCAGTCACTAGATGCTGTTCTATTTTTGCCAGTTAGGTCAAAGAACCCTTCTGCATAAGATGTCTTTTTCTCTGCGTAGGTTTTTATGAACTATGATTTCTTCTTCTTTTTAAAATAAATTGAGAATGTATTTATCTTCTAACTGAAGAACTTGTGTTAATTCTTCTTGGAATTAGGTCATTCACAAGCATTTTGTGTAAGCATCAATGCTGGAAATTCAAAATTAGATCTATGTTGGCTAGTTTTATTTGGACTCAAAGGTTAGATGACATTATTTTTCTTCCATGACTGGACATTTGTTTATTCTTAAAATTGCATTGGCAGTGTAAGTATTTACATTATGAGTTCAAAATTTCATAATATGTCCTTAAAGTTTGCTCTTTCCAGAAGCTTTCCTCCCAGCATTCTCATTTGCTGGGTTGTTTTTTGGAAAGCCAATATTAAAATGGTGCCAATAGTCAGGCCAAAATTAATCCTGTTTATCCAAATAAATGTTTATGGAGGATTTTGGTGAGTATTCATGTGGCTATAAATGGACATCTACTTTGACTGCGTTCTAGCAAAGTCAATAGCTTCATGTACCTATTGATATCACTAGAACAATAATAAGCTTTCCCTGTGCTTATCCATCTTAGTTAAAATATCCTGGCTTGAATCAAACATGGTTCTCATGTTTTTAGCCCTTTTGACTCTGTCTACAATACTTTCTTTGTTAGTGTGTTCTTGCAGATGTTTTATTCTATCAGTGCTACCATGTAACACTAGCTTCATCCTGTGACTGTGTTTCAGTAATCAATCAAGTTAAGTATGCTTGTTGGTCCTAAAGCCTAACAAACTTAGACTCCGATTCAGGAAAATACTTAAGCGTTTGCTTAAATGTTGTTCTGAAGAGGCATGATTTTCTGAATTAGAGCTGTAGAAGGGGATGTATTATTTATTTTCTTGTCTTTCTATTTTGAATTTTCTAGAGTAACGTTAGACAACAACTTAGATAACAACTTATACTATATAATCTTCTTTCTTAAGATGCAGTTTAGTTACAGCCCTAATAACTGCAACTCCTTGGAAACATTCCTACCCGCTGAGTCACAGCAGACGTAACCCTCAACGCTCCAGAATTTAATAGCAAAAACAATCTCACTCTGGGAAGACTGGAATTCTTTGCATCAGCTAAGACGATTTAACAACTGTCAGTTCTGCCCAGAGAGTAAAGGTAAACATATCAAGCATTTGGAAGGAGGTATTTGGGGGTGCTTTCTAAAGCCTTGAATAGAAATAATTTTGAAACCCATAAAATTGGAACAGTGATATCTGTGTTGTTTAAGAATGGATCTAAGTATTTTGCTAAAATATGTAGTTATATTCTTCTTTCCTCGCTCTTCCCATCTAAACAGGGTCGCTGTTGTGGATCCTGGCTCCCCACTGGCTTCGGTCATATATGTCTTCTTCTTCCAACTCCTCTCATGTCCCTCTCCACTATATCTCTCCATCTCATCTTCAGCCTTCCTCTTCCCCTTCTCCCTGGTAGTGCCATTCTGGTAACTTCTTTTCCCACACATTCTTCCAGACTCATAAACACAAACTAAGATATTTAGTTCAGAATGTATTTGAATGCACTGGCAAATGAATTGCATGTAGATTACCATAGTTATTACTGCCTAATTAAAAGTGATATAATGCTTTGATAGTACCATTTCTACAAATATAATTTAGTTTTTAGCACCACCTAAAAGACAAAAAAAAAAGTCCTTGAAGGTTTTTTAAATCGATCAACTTACATTTTTGGCAAGAGATATCACTTTTTTTTATTAGTATCCTGTGTAAGGCACAAGATGGTCTAATATTTTAACTGTACATTTTTTACTTTTGCAATATTTTAATGTCATAGAATCATAGAAAATTAGGGTTGGAAGGGACCTCAGGATGTCATCTAGTCCAAACCCCTGCTCAAAGCAAGAGCATGTCCAACTATATCATCCCAGCCATGGCTTTGTCTAGCTGGGTCTTAAAAACCTCCAAGGATGGAGATTCCACTATCTCTCTGGGTAACCTGTTCCAGTGCTTTACTACCCTCTTAGTGAGAAAGTTCTTCCTAATATCTAACTTAAACTTCACTTGCTGCAACTTGAGACCGTTGCTCCTTGTTCTGTCATCTGCCACCAGAGAACAGTCTAGTTCCATCCTCTTTGGAACCAACCTCCAGGTAGTTGAAGTCTGTTATTAAATCCTTCCTCAGCCTTCTCTTTTTCAGACTAAACAAGCCCAGTTCCCTCAGCCTCTCCTCAGAAGTCATGTGCCCTAGCCCTCTAACCATTTGCATTGCCCTCTGCTTGACACTTTTCTATCTGTCCACATCCTTTCTGTGGTGGGGGCCCAAAACTGGACACAGTAATCCAGGTATGGCCTCAACAGTGCCAAACAGAAGAAACTAATCACTTTCCTCAATCTGCTGGCAACACTTGTACTACTGGAGCCCAGTATCCTGTTAGCCTTCTTTGCAACAAGGGCACGATGTTGGTTCCTATCCAGCTTATTGTCCACTGTAACCCCCAGGTCCTTTTCTGCAGACTGCTGCTTAGCCGGTCTGTCCCCAGTCTGTACCGGTGCATAGGATTGTTCTGTCCAAAGTGCAAGATTGGTACTTGACCTTATTGAACTTCATGAGATTTCTTTTGGTCCAATCCTCCAACTTTTGAGGTCACTCTGAATCCTAGTCCTACCCTCCAGCATATTTACTTCTCCAACCAGTTTGCTGTAATCTGCAAATTTACTGAGAGTGCACTCCATCCCATCCTCCAGATTGGTAATATTGAATAAAAGCAACCCTGGGACTGACCCCTGAGGCACTCTACTTGATTACCCTTTGAGCCTGATGATCCAGCCAGTTTTCTATCCACCTTACAGTTCATTCATCTATCAAATACTTCTTTAGCTTGCTTGTAAGAATTTTGTGGGAAACCATATCAAAAGCCTTATTAAAGTCAAGGCATAATGTCTGTTTGACAGACAGTCATTGAAGGACTTTGAAGAAGACCTAAATGCTGGCAGGAATTTGAATAAATTGGGATTTTTAGAAACTGCATGTGTAATGATCATATGGAAGACTGTTCAAAGAGTGCTTCCTATAACTAAGATATTTCACAAAGAGCACACATTCCAAATATGTTTTCACTATTGTATGGATACCATTACTTTCCTAGGAATGAAATAGTAGAGCTTCTCAAGAGCTGGCCATAAGCCGTAAAACAATTACATCTAAAGGTAATCCTTTTTTGGAGAGAGTGGTATGGAATTGCACCTTCAGATCAGAATAATATGCATTAAGTGTGCTTATCTCTGATGGCCATGAGTAAGTCATGGTGTATGGTATACTGATGATATTCAATCTGTAAAATCCATAATTGAAAGTAAATATTTTCATGTGAAGGGCTGCCATCTGTACATTTTCTGCTTGCTTTACTGCCAGATATCTGCATTATAAAGAAGAGTCTTAAAAATTTCTCACCACATTTAATCTCTTTGGGTTCAGTGAAGTTAGCTACAGAAACCCACCCCCCCCAAAAAATCATGAAATTGATGTCAGCTGTGTTGTGACTGAGTTTTCGATAACAGCAGGCAGTTTTATTAGAATGAAGACATTTGTTTGCTGCTTTATATTTGAAAATTCATTAGCTATAATAGTCTCTTCCAAGGCTTCCCAATTCATTTAATGAATTGCTTTACCTCGCATTTCTGATTAACATGTTTTATATAAGAAAAAAATATGAGGTGTTTATATGCATAAAGAGATTAGTAGACTTTGGAAACATTCTCCCTGCAGGAGTTTGAATTTATCTAAAGAAGTGCACACCTTTAATTTTTGGTATCTTGCAGAATAGGATGAAAACACTTTGCTTCTCAAAGACTGGCTGCTAAAAACAGATTTTTATGAGCTGTTGTTGCAAGTTTTATTTCCTGCCAAAGAAAAACAATGCTTCTTATGTGAATAATAAATTTGGCCTGTCAATTCTACTAATTTATCTGAGGACATAGTTAGTGTTGGTAAAGCACTTTTTAAATAATACATGTAATGCAGTTAAGTATTAATACATAATTTAATATATGCAAATTATATATATATATATAATTTGATTCTGTAGTTCTTACTCTTACCAGAATTAATATGATAATTCATAGCACTGATTTTGCACCTTATTTTGGCAAAGCACTGATTGCAGGATACTTAAAGCTGTCAGAGCTGGATATGAAGGGAGGAATTGTATGGTTTGAGTTCTGGAATAGCTGGAATCTCTCCCTGCATCTGTCCTGTTACTGGAAAGGGTACTTACAGATAGAAATGCCAAAAGTATACAGAATGTTGAACCATGACATTGCATTCATAAAATGTATATATGCAAGTTAAATGGGCAGAACAATTTAATTGGAAAGAAGAGAGGAATTGCATAGCTTCTCAAATGTCATGTTTGGCTAAGCATTCACAGTGTCTCAGTGTTTTAACATGTAATAGAAAAAATAAGAAGTGTATGGAAGGTAGGCTAACAAAGTCAATTTTCATAGTGGATGTATATCAACGATACATCCATTGGTAACCTTGACTTGATTAAACACTGCAGCTGATCTAACTATATTTGTCTTCTAATGAGCTTCCAACTCATGTTTAAAGAAGGCTTTCATGGATGGGGCAGCAATCCATGCAAGCCTCCTTTTAATATGAATCACACTTTAAATACAAAGGTTACTTCATTTGCAGGAGACATACGATTCTAACTGGACTAACTATAATGTCTTAAGCATTCTATTCATATTTTGTAGTTTAAATGCAATAGATAGGCCACAAGGTACAAGGGTGATGGAAAGAACTGTGCCTTGTGAAACCCACATGTGCATCATCTTGCTTGAATACTATATAAGACTACATTCATTACTCCCTTGAGAAAGTAAAGTTAGTACAGTTGTCATGATATATAGTCCTTGAAAGATTGGCATTGCACTTAAAGCTTTCAGAATGGTGACCTCTTGGTGAAACATGTGGGCCTCAGGGATCTATTTGTTGCTTCTGAAAATAAAGCCCCTTCTGTTATACATACCAGATGGATATGAATTATTCAATAAAAGAATAATAGTTCCTGCGTTCTAGTCGTCATATCCTAGTCAAGCGACAAAGGACTTAAGGAACACAACTGAGATATTTGGAACTAGAAACCATAAGTTATGTGCAGGTTGACTGGCTACCCAGTATACTCTTAGGCCAGAATTCTGTTTCAATTTATATACCTAAATGGTAGTTTTCCAGCCTTGTAAGTGTCATTCTGACCTAGAACCTAAGTCTCCCACTTCTTTGGTGAGTGCCCTAACCACTTAGCTGTTGGGGCTAAAACATGGAAGGATCCTCCTCCCCTCCCCACTCTTGTCCATCCCCTTCTGCTTCTCCAGCATCCAACCCCAGCTAGTCATGGGTTTTTACTAGGTAGAATTTTGTGTCTTATGCATATCTGGTATACACATGTATATGATTGCAGGCTCTCTAGCCAGGGCAGAGCCTGTCAAGCAAACTACTGCCCATGTTATCTGGATGAAAAAAATGCAAACTGTGCATAAGTGCCAAAAATGTCAGTTATATGGTTGGAAAACTGCCATTTAGGCTCACAAAGGGAAAAAGGATTGAGCTCTTCAGTCGCTCATATTCCACAATGGACAGAAATCCACTGCAATTCCAGGTGACAACAGCTATTTTCAAAATTATAGTAACTACAACACCAGAATGACAACCTTAGGTAAGTAAAAGTACCTAACATTAATGATGATCAAAACTCCCAGATTCATATCAGTGTTCCATGACAGGCTGTTTGTCTAAATTTTACTTTCATTAAAGCTAAAATGTATAGGGCTGAATTGGTGTAAGAAAGAGCAGAATCTGGTTCTTCACAGTTCAGCTAAATTTTCGGATTCAGAAAATGTATAGACAGGTAATATTCTACCCAGAAAATTGGATAACATGAACAATATAAGATTATGTTTCAGAAAGTGTATGACAGAGAGAATCTAGGTTTAGATTTTTAGGTCACACTATGTTAAAAATATTCATGAATAGTTTGTGAAGGCTTACTTAGTTATTAATAAATTATATAAATATGTAACGGGCTAAGTACTATAGTTTATCATTAGCACTTTAGTTGTGTCTATTAGAAATGTCTATAAACCATGGTTATATAT